TTCGAACCCGGGACCTTTGAATGAGAGGCCAACACCTTAACCTCTAGGCCACGAGAGCCCCCTCGAAACAAGTCAAGACAGCGTGAAAGTTTTACTTCTATTCCTCAATTGTCTTCAATATTTCTCATGAGATAGAATAATTCTCCTGGAAATAAGTCTTTGCTCTCGTTATATGTTAAATTATCATATTTACTCGCGCGCGGTAAAAGTAAGCTTTAGTCGTCCATTCTGAACTTACTTGTATTAGTACGCTAATCCGGGGTCTCTACTCTCTGTGAGGCTACGTTTGGGTTGCCATGACGTCACGCAAAAAAGACGATTTTTTTTTTTTTTTAACGAGGAGTCGAAATTTACTTTTACCCACAAAATATGATGGCGAGACAAAGTCAGAGAAGTGCTGGTGTTGGCCTAAGTGTCACTTCGGTGTTATTTTTACGTAAGCCAAATCTGCTGCCCAGATCCCCGTTTAAGTCTCGTGCTCATCCTGAGAAGAGGGTGATCTTTTTGACAGTTAATGACTTCTATTGGCTCTATCGCAAGCGTCTTTACGAGTAGGCAAATGTTATGAATGCGATCTGACCTACCATATGTGAGGCAGCGTGGTGGAATCAAGCTCTCGTCAGTTTTTGGGCAAGTAGAGTTATTGGTATAATCTTAAAGGTAGTTCACTTGTGTTTATTTGTATGAAAAAAATATCCATTCATCTTGAATACAAGTCGAAATATTTGCGAAAGAAAGAGGTGGGGGTCACTTGTTTTCAGAGGTAAAACTAGTGAGAAAAAGGGTGGCAAAAATTAGTTATTTCCTCAGCTTTAGAGTCCGTGGCAACTGAAAGTTTACATTTATTGTACCTTTAAACAGCGTTTTTCAGAAAAATCCACACCGGAATGAGTTCTGTAATGGGCATGAAAGGTGCTGAGCCAAAAAACAAAAATTTTATAAAAATTCACACACCTGCAAAAAAATGACAAGTTTCTTCACTTTGACTATTTTGACGAAAGCCTGATTCCACCACGCGCCTCACATATGTAAACTGCTTGATCCTGGGACAGACCCTGATGTTCACAACTATTATTATGATAACGTAATAATCCTCGTGCGATCTCTATAATGGGAACGTCTCACGTGTTTTAGAGAAACCACACGAAGGCGGTTTACATCGAGCTCAGTGATGCAGTACTGGATTTCTAAGTGTTCTGTCGTGTGTTTTGAGTTTCTTTCTCTGGATATTATTATATTAAAAGTAAGTCTTGAGATGGTAACTTTTACCTTTTATATTCCGTTCTATTCTCGAAGCACATTTGAGTAATTTCATTTTATTTTATTTTATTTTTATTTTTTAATTAAATTTTTTTTTGGGGGGGGGGGGGGGGGGTGGACTTCCAACAAGTAAAAAGTAAAGATATTGCCAAGAAAATGATATCATCACTGCAGTTCCAACGGTTATGGATGCCCTTTACTCTGCGATCGGTCGGAAATTTCATCAATAAAGATATGTAAATTAAAAAGGCCATTGCCTTTCATTATAACCAAAATTGGAGAGAAAAAAATTGTGATGGTGACAGATGAATGCCTCCCATTAAACTTTTGGTTGTCCTCCTCTCCTTGCCAACACAAACATTATGATCACGGCAGCAGACGACACATAGAGATGATACCCCCACCTGCCTTCAGGCATACTTTGTAAAGAGAGTGAAATCCTACCCCGTGAGAACCCCCGGCCATCTCCCCGTCTCACCCCACGAAAACACCAGTTGGATAATTATAATTATTGACCCTGGATTTTGTTCGCTGTGTTGTCCAAGATGGTATCTTTCACTTTTACTTTGGGAGGACTTCCTTTACTTTTTCATGGACGTAGAACGGTGTAAGTGGAGATCCTGTGGTTCTAAGTCCATGCTTTCCTTATCCTTTAATTGCCTTGTAATAGTGGGGCGTGCTTAGGATGGACATTTTTTTTCTTTTTCTTCTTCTTTTTTTCTTTCTTTTTTTTCTTCTTCTTTTTTTTTTTTTTTTTTTGCTTTTGCTTTTTAGGGAGGAGGGGGGGGGGGCAGAGAAGGTTGCCATACGTCGCCATAGCCCCTAAGTACAGACTACTGCCGTGTGCCGTGCTCATTGTAAAACGAAGGCTGACAATGGATGGCCTAGAATTGTGCAGGACGGCCCAATTTATGACAGATACCAGACTTCAAGTGTGATGCGATCGAGAGGAAGAAAGAAGATGGTCTAGAATCTAGATCTAGATCTGTACCAAAATCGAAAGTGTTTTCAGCGTGTCGCCAGGTTAAGTGTACAAGCTCTATCACGGCGAGCACACAGAAAATGACAACTTTTAGGGTGTTTGCTTAGTCATGTTGCTCTTTCCATTTTTCAAAAGGCTGTGCTGGCTCTTGGATGATCTGTAGATCTATATCTTGGAAAAACTTGTTTCGAGAGGCATTGGACTGGTAGGCCAGTAATAATAATCTTGTACCATAGCCAGCATCTCGTTCGCGTGTTTTGACACTCTTTTCTGCTTGTCACAAGAATGTTGTTGTAGGTATGGCTGTTGTTATTGTTGTTGTTGTTGTGTTGTTGCTGTTGTTGTTGTTGTTGTTTTTATTGCTGCTGTTGTTATTGATGTTGTTGCTGCTGTTGCTGTTGTTGATGCTGTTGATGTCGTTGCTACTGCTGCTGTTTTTGCTGCTGCTGCTGCTGCTGCTGCTGCTGGAGGTGGTGGTGCTGCTGCTGCTGCTGGTGGTGCTACTACTACTACTACTACTACTACTACTACTACTACTACTACTACTACTACTGCTACTACTACTACTACTACTACTACTGCTACTACTACTACTACTACTACTACTACTACTACTACTACTGCTACTGCTAATACTACTACTACTGTTGCTACTGTTGCTACTGTTGCTACTGTTGCTACTGTTGTTGCTGCTATTGTTGTTGTTGTTGTTGCTGCTGCTGCTGCTGCTGCTGCTGCTATTGCTTTGTTTTTAGGGGGTTATTGGTGTTGGGTTTGTTAGGGTTTTTTTGGTTGATTGTTTTGTTTTGTTTTTGATTTTAGTCGAGGAAGTGTTGTTCCTTTACGTTTGGGTGTTTAGTTGCTGCTGCTGCTACTGCTGCTACTGTTGTTATTGTTATAATTGTTGTTGATTGTTGTTGTTGTTGATGATGATGATGATGATGATGATGATGATGATGATGATGATGATGATGATGATGATGATGATGATGATGATGATAATGATGCGTCAAAGCACGTATTTCTGCGTCAGGACTCGGGGCAGAAAAAAGACAGCCTATACATTGTAGCCCTTGGGAGAATATAACATGCAGTTTTTAACCCTACATGGATTAGAACCCCAAATGTGAGCCTTTGGGCCCAAGTAGGGACGTTAACCCTACCCGTACGTCGTGTTTTACTAATCGTATCTGTACGACGTGGGGAACTCTGTGCCCCCACTTTCCAAAGAGGAAATTTGTGAGGCAGCGTGGTGGAATCAGGCTGTCGTCAATTTTTGGGCATGTAAAGCTATTGGTATCATCTTAAAGCTTGTTCACTTGTCTTTATTTAGATGAAAAAATATCCATTTGTCTTGAATACAAGTCGAGATATTTGCGAATGAAGGAGGAGGGGTTATCTGTTTTCAGAGGTAAAATTAATGAGAAAATGGCCGCCAAAAGATTAGTTGTTTCCTTAGCTTAAGAGTCGGTGGTAACAGAAAATGTAAATTTTTTGTGCTTTTAATCAACGTTTTTCAGAAGAAAAAAATCCACACAGAAATAGTTCTTTAATGGGCATGAAAGGTGTCGAGTCAAAAAACAAAGGTTTGATAAAAATTCACAAACCTGAAGAAAAATGCAAGTTTCTTCACTTTGATTGTTTTAACGAGAGCCTGATTCCACCACGCTGCCTCACATTTACTCGTTAATCCGATCCGTGCGCTCTGCATAGCAGTCTGTCAAAATGATTTTTTGAGAAATACTGAAAGTTTCAAAGAGTCCTTCGCCCTAGAAGTATTCTCAAATTTGAAGAACACAGCCCCAGGGACACAAAATTACCCCAGGCGTAGGATAGGGTTAATTTATCGAGTATCTACATTGTCCTGTTGGGATGTTGGATCCTGCCCGGAGTGTGGTCGGGTTGGCGAAGAGCCTGTCTCCTTGATGATCTAGTTTCTAGATCGAAATTGTTACGTTCCCCGAAGTGTACAATATTACTTCGAAGAACCCCTCCCCTTTTTTTTTCTCTGACGCAGTGGCGGTGGGTAGTGAAGGGCTCACGGGCTTGAGCCCCTACCCCCTCCCCACCCACCACCCCCAACTCTATCCCAAAGTAAAAGAAAGTTTCTCTATAATCAAATAAGCAGTTGAAACCGTTATGACCGCACGCAATGAACACAGAGTGATCAACTTGGCGGCTTGCTCGCTCGCTTATCCAATCACTGTTGTCACCGCTTACAACTATAGTAACCCAGCAGCCAATCAAATGTCTTTACGGCTCAGCAAAGATGAGCCCTTTACCCACAGTCCGTCCTTAATGAAATTCTTCTTGTAAAAAGGTAGAAGACTGGGAAAAATAACACTGTACCGAGGGCTCACGCTCTCCTAGCCCTGACAATGGGGTGAAAGTTTACGACAATCTTTCCCCCACCGACACAGATTATATCTATGCGCTCATTGGTTCTTTGTTGGGTGTGTTCAACTTTCTCGATTACACGGTCCTCCACACAAGATAATTACTTTGTGGGTGGTTGGCGGGTGCTCTGGTGTGGTTTGCTTCTTCTTTCCCATCAAATGTCTATCTCCTTTATCTCACCCCCTTCTTTGCTATGTTTGTTACTCTCTTTTAACACCTCTAATCTTCGGCATTTATTTGACCTTCTTGTGTTGCAAGTGCCGTAAAACATTTCCTTTAAAAAAATTTACTTTTGTCTCATCTGGTATTTCAAAGGCAATGCACAGATTCATGCAGACGATCTCGCTCTTTTTTATTACAGATCACTTCCAAGAATTTCTCCTATGGATTAACCCTATAGAAAATGGACGTCAAGTTTTCATGAGCTTTGATGATTACGTGCTGAGAACCAAGGAGGAGCTGTAAAAGTGTGTGGTGGACAAATGACCTCAAAGTTGGACAATCATGGCCCTGGTGACGTCATCACTCTTCCTCGCGTTGTCTATGATATTGTCGTCAGAGGGCCAGGACTTGCTGGACCCTTGTTTATCCTCACATCGCATGCAGCAACTGATGGACAGCGAGTCGAACCTCCTGAAATTTCTCAATCAGACTTTCTCAGACCGTGCAAAATTGTCGGGGGAGAGTCACTATGAAAAGTGAGTTGTAGTAAAAAAGCATGGTGTACTGATGTGTATACTACACGCACACACGTTAAATCATTTTGACCTGTGATTTATGATGCTTGAATGTTCTCTCTGTCTCTGTCTCTGTCTCTGTCTGCATCTGTCTCCATCTGTCTCTGTCTCTCTCTCTCCCCTCTCTCTCTCATTCTCTCTCTCTCTCTCTCTCTCTCTTTCTCTCTCTCTCTCTCTCT